ATTTAAGTTTAATTATTAATGGTAGAATAAGTTGTTAAATGTTGTATTTCAGTACACAAAGTGGTCGTYCACTTTGTGAAAAAAATTACACGATGTTAAGTTTGAGTGACCATTTGGTGAAATATTTTTGAATTTCACAAAGTGTAAAAACGTGTTTCAATTTCACGAAATGGTCATATTTTCATGAAAAGATCGATTTCACGAAGTGGCTACGACATATTATACATTAGTAAGTAATTAATTTTTTGAAAAAAAAAACAGATCAGATGCTGAAACAGAATACTAGATTCTTATTAATAATTGATTATAAACCAATTGATTTGCTAGAAATATTAAAAAAGTATAGGTACTCAGTTTCACAAAAAATTAAAAATAATACGTAAACTTTTTCAAGAGTCGTTTAAATAACTAGTCGATTAGAAAATTCATTTTCACTTTTGAAAATAATTTTACGTAACGTTTACCTTAAAACTAAAATTATTTTAGCATCTAAAGTGTAATAAAATAAAATATAATATGTGTATAATTATAAATACCAGTGGTAAAGGGTTTACGAAGACCAACAAGTTTTTTAAAAACATATAATTTTAATTACGTAAACAACTTTTTAGTATTCTTTCAATAACGTACCATATTTACGTTTTGTTAAAATTAGCAACTTTTTAAAAATTAAAATTATGTAACTACCTATCTATTTGTCTACCTTTTTGTTTATGTTTTTTTTGATATAATAAGTAGGTAATAATTTGACTTTTACTGTTTTAAACACATTATATTTTGACGACTGTAAAAACGTTTGCTATATTTATATGAATATATGCGATAACGGAATTTAAAAAAGGACCATTAAAATATATACGACCACTATAGATACCTTGAAATGGTTATGTTAATATTGGATCTGAAACRCTACAAAATACGAATATTATCTAGCGTTAAATAATATATGACTATAATAATGGATTAAAACACGCGAAATAGTTTACCTTTGAGCGACGTTTATAGTAAATTTAAATTACATTCTTATTTTATATTATATAGGTTGTGATGATTGTAAACGATTTATTTTTGTTAATTACACGAATAAAATTGGTATGCCCTATCTACGATGATATGTAAATATTGATGATAAAAATCTAGAATATCCAATAAGTAAMCTACAACATAGTCATTTGATCATATATCATAATGGTTATCAAAACGTAAACACTTATTGTTTAGCCTTACCAAACGTAAAGCAAAAATAACTACCTTAAAATATAAACCTTAGTTAAAATAATCAATAATCAACTATAAATTAGAATAATAAAGATAAGTATATGCAATAGCAAGGGCTCATTTTTTGATGAAAAAAATAAGTTGGAATCTTATGCACATGAATTAATAAATGAGAAATCATCGGTGTCAAGAGTATAAATATTTTACACCCTAAGTGTTAATAGTTAAAATCTAAAAATTAAGTACTCATTTCTAATATAAAACACATCAATAATATGGACTACACATACACATTAYGCTTGTAAATTGTGAACTATAGAATTTCGGACAAAAATAAATAATAAATAGATAATAATATAAAACAGATTTCTAAAAATAGCTTTAGATTAATTTGATCATATGTTAACAACGCGGTGGCAAAGTTGGTAAGTCCCAAACCCAAAAATATAAAGTTTTACATTTGTGTTGAGTCGAATCCCTCCCTAATATACACATCAATCTTAAAAATGTTAGGCCCCTCAATTGTTTTGGAATTCCGTCTATTCTTCTCGTCCATGTTTAACATCAAATAAAATCTATCTTAAGACCACCTGATAACTATTATTGCGTTAAATTGATATTAAATGTCGTTTACGTTTACGGCATAACACTTCATCGACTGATGGGTTTCTTCACACGCCTAATTGTTGTACTTCATCTTTATTATTTGAATATTTGACAAAAAAAAAACATGATATAGCATTATCAGATATTGTAATTTAACGCCAATTTTATGGTTAGTGCTGTAATTAATATTATGATTTCATAACAATAATTATTWTGAATGAACGTAAAATGCATTTATCTGCGTATTTTATCTCATATATGGCATGCATGTCTACAGTTTGTATGTGCGTTATTTGTAAATGTGTAACAACATTGCGGAATACTTACATTATCTTGGAGAACGGAAGAGCGGATATCTGTGGCATCGTTTTTGAGATAACCTCCAGTGGTAAGTTTCTGAGATGCTTTTCCCATTATGATCATATTCTCGAATGAAATGCTGTGCAATTGCAATTTACATGTAGTCTGTAAATATATATTATCGTCCGATATTAATAACAWGTTAGGTCTATTATAATAATATTGTGCAAACAACACATGTCAATACTTTGAAGTTTGCTACACGTCATACTGTAATTATTGTCATTCCCATTACTTTAATTATTATTACAAATATCCTTTGTAAAACTATCA